CGAAGCAAACAGCAGACTTTGAGTTGCAGCACGCCCTCCGCTGGGTTTTACCCGCTTCAAATGCTGGTGGTGTACTGCGTTTCAAATCCTCTGCGTTACAGACTTCTTCTGCCTCCTTGGCACAGGCCTTGGGAGCTGAGTGACTGGCTCAGTTTTTGCTAAAAGGCAGTGACAAAATTCCTGGCTGTTTCCCCAGTACAACTGCTCCTGACTGTTGAACTCCAGAGCCTTGCGGCAGGACGCCTGCTGCCGAGTGCTGGAAGTGATCTGAGCTAATCAGAAACTTGGTTTTGACATACTGTTAATGTGCAGTATTCACAATTTTAAACCGTTCCTAGCTGTGGTTGTGGCCAGTTTGGGAGTGTCTATCACGTGTACCCCCCAGGCAGTATAGCCTAACTACAGCGTATGTGTGCAGCTAATGCCCCTGGAGCCCAGAGGCCAGAGCAACTGAGGTATTTGGGCTACAACGATGGTGGAACAGGCTGGAGTGGGAGCAACGGGAGTTGCAAAAAGCCCTGCACTTGTCTGGAGAGGAGCTTCAATTGGCTCAGTTTCTCTTTTTATTGTTGTTGGTCCATTCTGTGGCACTCAGCGTACCCACACAGCCTGGCACACCCCAGGACCCCAGAACGAGCTCAGTATGGGGTGCGAGGCTGTGTCAGGCTTTCAGAAGGCTGGGGCTGAGTGGACGAGCTAGCCTCCGTTTCTTTGGGACTGCAGTGCAAGTGCAAGCTGTACTTGGGAAATGTGGCCCGCCTTGGGCTGCCAAATGGGAGGTCTTGGGTGACGTGAATGAGGATGGCCAGGAACAGGCTTTTGATGGTGCCTTGAGACCGCGCTTGCATGTTTGCTAATTAGCCACGTTTGGGACACAGGGTCTGGGAAAGGTGGAGCAGCCGTGCCACCACACTGCGGTGAGCCCCCCACCGCTCCCAGCAGCCCCCTCCTCTTCCTCCAAGCCCATGGGGCTGCAGGCCCTGCTCCCCCTGGGGCAGCCCTTTTCATATGTGGGGGATTAAACCCTCTTTGGGAAGACTGGAGGGGGAAAGTGGGATGAGGGCCACAGAGCCAGGGTGGCACTGGGGGCTCTTGCTTGGCTGGTGGCCCTCCAGCGGTGGCTCCAAGGTGGCGACCGAGGCACGGCCAAGGCATGGTACGGTTGGAGGTGTTTGTGGCCTGCTGCTGTCCCACCACTGCCATCCCTGTCCAAAATACTGGGGGTGTAAGAGGAGAAGGCAGTTGAGGTGACCGTGACGATCACACAAATGACTTTCTGCTCTCTCACGGACGACTGGTCAGTTTGGGACCGGACCTAACCATAAATGGGATTTTAGTACCGCAAGGTGAGACGCAGCGTTTTTTAAGGCCTAGTGAAAAGCCATGGAACGAATTAAATGAACCAGAGAGGGCCCGGGCCACGCTATGTAGGTGCAGACACCACAGTTACCACCAGTCCTGCAACCCTGGGATGTGATCCTTCACTGAAGGCAAACCTGACTGTCATTATGAAAGGCTAGTAGCTTGTGGGGTGCTTGGGCTTATGGTTCTGGTTAAGCTCATCTTGTCAACAAATCAGCACATTTTGAATGGTCGAATGCCTGCCTTTCGAACTGAGAAGCTTGGCAGTTACACTGGGGCTAGGGAAGTGAGTATGTCGCGCAGGAGCTTGGAGAACCTGGGATGAAAAGGCTGGGGAAGAACACGGAGCATGTGTAGCACCTCCTGGTCACAGAGGGGATCTCTGCACGACTGAGAAGGATGCCAAGGAGCCCCGGTGCCAGAGGCTGGGAGCGGGGGCGGGGGGGGGGGGGGGGGGGGGAGCCTGCGAAACAGGGGCTTGTGAGGGTAGGTGGCCATGGGGGCTGGCAGGGCAGCCGGGCTCCGCGCCCCTCCTGTGAAGCCTGCTCAGCTCCAGGCTTCATCGCTGAGAAGACGTTTCATCTCGGTTCAGTTTGTGGTGCAAAATACGGTTTCTGTGGGGTGGTATTTCACTGTAAAGGATAAGGGTATTTCTCTAAATGCGACGTTTGTATAGTAAGGCAAAATAAAGTGGATTTTTTTCCTTTCTTAGAAAACCCTGTTGCGTTGTGAAGGTAGCGTGAATGGCCTCATCTGTCTCTCTCTGCTTGCAGCTCTTGTTTATCATGTTGATAAAAGATAAGCTTGGTAAATCCTTGTGAGAGAGTGAATATGGCCTGCTAGTCTTTCATTCATCCTCAGAGTCCACGGATGTTTAAAACAATGGCATTTAATCTGTAACGCAGTTAAAAGGCTTATGTGTTCCTACTCCAGAAGTGAGACACATTGGCGGCAGTTGTTATTTATTTTAGTTGTTTGCCCCAGCTTGAAAACTGAGTAGTCAAAAGAAAAGTTCTCATTTTAATATTCTGTGGGACTGAATTGCTTCAGTGAAAGCAAAGGCTGTTGTGCAAGCTACTGATGCATAACTCTACTTTTTTTAATAGCGGTAGCCTGCCTTTTGGCTATGGGGATCTCATCTGGGTGAGGCTGTTGTTTTTTTCCCCTAACCATTGCTAAGGGATGTCAGTCCCTGAGCACCGTTTGGTTGATTAATCAAAGTCCTTAACCAATCAAGGGGTAGAAGTTTCCATAACAATGTGATTACTTCTGAAAAAGTGTGCCTGTTGGAATGATGAAACTTTCTACTTTGATTTGCTTCTGTAATGCCTCTGCTTTAACTGCCTCAATTGCTCACGTTTTCAAAGTACTTAGTAACAATGAAGATGCTTCCTTATCTTCTGTACCTTTCCTTTTTCTGGGGGGACAGGGGCAAAACATAACAAGCAATAAAACTAAAGTAGTTTGCACACAGAAAAGGGGAAAAATGGGGGGGGGGGGGGGGAGAGATAAAATGTTTTGGGTTTTTGTTTGTTTGTTTTTCCCAAAGCTAGAAGAGTGATCTGAAGCTCAGATTCCTCTCTTTTCTTGCCTGCTTTCCCTCCAGGACTGTTCACATGATTTTCCTCGCATTGTCGATACTGTACTGGTTCTGACCCCTCACTAATATCTTTTGGTTATCGGAGAGGAACTAGCTTTCAGATCTGTATGAATGTAAATTGAAGTGAGAGAAAGGAAGATGACTGCAGGGAAAGCTGACTGGAAAGGGAAAGACTGTTTTTCTAGATTTGGGCTTTGTAGCTTCAGTTCAATTGCAGTTAAGTTCGCTGTTCGCGTGTGTATGGTTTTCCTCTCCTCTGCCCCTTACTATAAGGCATGGTAATAACTGGGTATATTTTTATGGACAGCAGCTTGAAAATGTGCCTACTTTGTTATTTTATTTTTGTTTTGTAAAATAATGGGGAATTCAACCTGCATGGTAATGTGTTGTTTCATGGGGTAATGGTTCTGGAGATGCAAAGCTAGAATGCAGTGGGAGTTAAGCAGTGTGTCCAAAGGCAAGTGTTCACAGCTCTTAGGTCAGAATCCAAATTATACAATAAAGCAGTATTACATGCCTCCTGATTTTGGACCCTTTGCGGTATCCATTTGCAGCTTTTCTTCTCATCTTCTCATCTAAAATTTCCCTTGAGCCTTGGTTAAAGGAAGCTGACAACTTTCTTTGGCTTCTGATTCTGGTATTTAGCTAAGCTAGGCTTTGTTTAGTTCTTCTTGTCCCTGTAAAGATGGGGTGTGTGAATCACAGCTTGAAACAATTTCTGCTAACTTTTTCGAGGCCTTGAATGTGCTGGGCAGTGATGGAGCAGACGTCTTGGTTCTGTCCTGTCTTCTAGAAATAGGACATGTGATTCTTTGTGTTTGACAAGACACATCTGCACTTATTTTAATGGAGTGTAATTTGAAACTAGTTTAGTTAAACCAGGGCAGATGGCCACAGGACTGTGTATAGTGGTGCTGCTGTAAGATTATTAATCTGGTTTTAGGGAACCTCATAGCAGAATAAGGTAATACAGTTGTCATATAAATCTCGGCGTTGAACAAGTACAGATTAATTCTGCCCATTAAAATGTGTAATGAAAAAGAATCCAAAAATCTTAGAAGTCTTTGTCAGGTAAGGTATTGTCTGGCTTACTGCACAGCATAAAGATTGTATCTTATATTTTTGGTTATTAAGCATTAGCTAAAATTATGTAGTCATGCCTGATCCCAGTCAGACTTGTACTGACAGGTGATCAGATATTACATAAAGCTTGTATCAATGAAAATGGAACCAGAGCCATGAAAATTTGCAAGGGCTTAACTAAATTGATTTAGTGTAATCAAGACCTGGTTGTCTGTAGACAAGGTTTTTATTTACTGCTTTAATACACTGATTTTACATACGTTAGCCTAAAAATCCAAAATAGAAGGAGAAAGCTGTCTTCAAATTTCTTTTCTCAATTATTCGTACTAAAGGCTTTATTTTATAAGATACTTTATTTCAGTCTCAGAATAAACATGTGCCTTATCTCACCAGGACCTTAGATTGAACTACAGAACTCCCCCCACCAAGTTAATTCTTGTTGCACATTATCAACAAAGACATTTCTGATAAGAAAAAAAAAAGGAAAAGATACTATGGAAAGTGTTCTGTGGTTTCAACCAACCTTGCTTATGATGAACAGGTTGAATGGGAAGTCTGCAGGCTGGGAAGCACATCTGCTTAAAACATGTGTTGAGTTTTCTTTCTTCATTTATGATAACAGTGAGCACATTTGTGGAAATCATGTTTTCTTCACAATCTGTTTGCTAAATTAGGACACAAACCCGAGAACACTTGTGCATGAGAGTAATTTTCTATAAATGAGTAGTGTCACTGAGTTCAATAAGAGCAGTCACGCATAGAATTAAGCACATGCATGAGAGTTTGCAGAAATTTGGCAAATAAGTTCCCATCATGAACAGATTGCCCAGCTTTGCTTCTAATGCAGCTATAAATCTTTGGCTTGCTCCTATTTTGGGTAGCCCTTGTTGTATGAGCCATAAGCTATTCTATTGTGCTAAGCCTAACTGAGGATATTTCTCTTATTTTGTCATAGCAACAAGAGCAAGATCCCACAAATCTATACATCTCAAATTTACCCGTTTCCATGGATGAGCAGGAACTGGAGAATATGCTGAAACCCTTTGGACATGTCATTTCCACCAGAATATTAAGAGATGCTAATGGAGTCAGCAGAGGAGTCGGCTTTGCCAGGTGAAACTTTTAGTCTTTTTTGATTCGTGCACATTTTTTGGCTTCGGTCCTTTGCAGATGCTGTCTATTCCATAAGTCTGAAGCCTCATAGCTATGGAAAATGCAGAGCAGCACCCTTATCAGACTATGTGTCTGTTCCTTCCATCAGGCTGAAGAATATCGATGCAGAAGGATGTTCATTTCATTGCTCTAAAGAATAGTTCATTGTATGTATGTGTATGTAAATAAAAATCACTAGGAATAGTGCGCTATCCATGCAGTAACAAGCTTGGATAATAATAAAAGTCGTACAGCCAAAAGCACACACTTCGTGAAGAAACTGTTCAAATGTTTAGCAAAGATTTTGCAACAGGAAGAAATAAATTTAGGAGCTGGAAGAGCAAAGGGAAGGAACTGTAACTGAAGAAACGTGGCTTCCTTGAAAGCTGCAGGGAATTCAAGCCTGTGAGAAGAGCTTAGAGAAGAAATATTTGCATATAACTAGCCCTGTCAGTGTAGTCAGGTATTTGAGACAGAATGGGCAACATATTATTACAGTGTGCTTCATTGTCAGTACAGATAGACAAGTTTCCATGTTTACTCTCATGGAATATTTACATAGAGTCTCTTCAGCTTAAAACATTCTTAAATCAAATAGTTTCTTTTGAAAAGCCAAGGAATAGAGAGCTATATATATAAAAGTATTGAAAAAGCAAATGAGAAATTTGCAGTTGTGCTATAAAACAGTCTGCTTCGAAAGAAAAGGAAAAAAAATCCCAAATCATTGTTTCTACAGAATATTCATGACATTGTTCTTTGTGGAGGAGGCAAAAGGACTTAATCATTGTGTGTATTTCTTTGGAATACACCGTATCTTGGTATATGGTGGCACTGCTGTTAGTGTCATAACACTACCGAGTGAAATGAGATACTGGGTGATAAAAAGGTAGCTTGCAAGAGAAGTGACATTGTGGTGTTACCTTTGTCCTTGATGTGAAAGATCATCATGTGCAAAGAATGTTAAGACATCGTTGTCTGAATTGGAATGGAAAAAGGCATAACATAAATACTGAAAGACAACATGCAGTTCTTTATACATTCTTGCAGATAGTAACATGAATTTTTCTAGCTCACAAACTATAGATTAGTGTAACTCATAGATAAACTTGCATTTTAAAAAATTGACTTTGTTTGTGGAAATGTGTTTAATTATGTAATGTTTCAGGAAACCTTTAGTGATCTAACATGAAGGTTGTGTAATTCACCATGCAAACGACACAGGGGTAAAACCTTTGCTCCATCAAAGTATACAGCAGATCTACCATTGACTTGAATGAGGCCAGAGTTAATCCAGGAATTTAGAACAGTAGCTGAATACTGACTCTTGTCTTTGCAGAATTATCAGTACAAGCTTAAATTACATGACCACCTGACCTTCTTTTTGTAATAAAGGACTATTTGGTATCTTTTTCCTGCATGTCAATCCAAATAGATGAATTTGTTTAGCTTTGCTTGTAGCCATGAAGGTTTCGTTCTGGTGTGCCTACAGGGTGAGCAGACGTTGAGTGGGGGTAAAGGCGGTACAGGTAGGGGATGGCAGCTGTATTTCAGTCCAGATAAGATTTCAGAAGTCCAGATCAGCAACCTGTGTTGTGATCCTGGCTAGTATACTTTCTGACATGGGGCCTTTCATCACAGTATTTCTTGCCTGCTTGTGGAATGTGCCATGCTGCTTAGCATAGCTCTTAAATGAGCCGCAGTAGCACAGGAGATAAAGTTAAGTTTGCATATGCTAAAATGATGCAGCATCCAGCAATTTTTAAATTTTATGTTTCAAAGTTATTAATTGCTATGATGATGAGAAAATCACTTTTTGATTCTGCCCAATTATGTGAATAGTCAATCTCAGAATAAGTATACTCAAAAAGCAGTCAGAAGTAAAGACTTAAGGTGGACAGATATTGTCAGATTTTTCTCCTAAATGGGTGTGACCAGCAGTTTCATAGTACTGCAGGTGGCTACTTAATCATTTATAACTCAGGTAACTTTGAATGCTGTTGGATCAAAATTATCTGAGTAATGTCTGGCCACATTAAGGTTCAGCCTCCTTTAAAGTACGCATGTACAAAGCTAACTCTTTTTCAAGCTGCGAAAGTATTTCCTGTCGCTTGCGTCCCTCAAAACCAACTGAACAGATTTTCCCGAAACTTTCCAGAGTATTTCACTGTGGCTTGAACCCAACTGTGCTAGGTATGTCTCGGGGGAGATTTTGAGGAGGAAAGTTATGAGCAAGGGGCCAGAGAAGGGAAGCTTTAGACTCTGACTGTGGCTCCACAGAAGTCCATCCAGTTGAAAGGGAATTGCCGTAACCTCTGGACACCTGCCTCTGCCCCCACCCTTGCCTGTGCTTCGTACTTCAAAGCCATGCTACCTGGCTCCGGGCTCTCAGTGGGAGCTGGCATTCCACAGCACTCATGTTGCTGTTGTCCTTTGGCAGCATGGGTTGCTGCTGACACCGGCAAGCAGAAGCTGGGGCTAAACACAGCCTATCAGACAGCAGAGAGAGGAATCAGGAGGAGGAGGGGGAAGAAATAAGTACTAGAAGTAGGGAACTAGGAAAAGGAGGCAGTGCGGTTGAGAAGCTTTGAGTTCAGTCTGTTGTAAGATTGCATGTCGAAAGAAGGAATGATGCAGCGTTGCCCTCATGCAGGATTTCAACACAAGACTTAAAAATGTAGGTGTTTCTCTTCAATCCCCGTTGCTGGGAGTCATCTAATGACTTCAGCATCTAATCTTTCATATAAAAAGTGTGAGTGGATTCTTCAGAGCTTAGAACAAAAACACAGTCCTTCATCCTCAAAGAAAAAAAAAATGCAAAGGGAAAAAGCCACATAAACTGGATTTGAAGACTTCTTTTGAGGTATAATTTGAAAGCTGGTCTCTTATAATTTGAGTTTTGCAAACAGGTCATTAGCAATATTGTTGGTGGTGTGAGTAAAAAGCAGATCAGAGGTACTGAGTAAGTGAGAAGGTCTTTGAGGGAGGCCGGAATTACTGGATGGGAGAAGGTACTGAGAGTGTGGAGGGAATTTAACTTTATCCTGAAGATGTGTTTGTTGTCACATAGAAAGAGGTAACTGTATGTGCTGGAAGACCTGGCTTTCCACAGGCCCATCAAGGATGAGTTCCAGATGTTAAGGTGGGAGAAGACAAAGAAGTAACACAATCAAAGTGGAGCCACAGCAGTAGTGCTGTTCTGCAAAATGAAAGGGGGAATATTTAGAGGGAGATTTCTGAGGATCAGTGATGTTGCTGCTTTGGAGGCAGAGAAGTGTCAGCAGCACCAGGGGATAGAGAACATCCATGCAGTTTAAGCATGCATTTGTGAAGAGGGGAAATGCTTCCTTCTTCCTTATTCAAGGGTTTAATTGAAGACAGTTGAAAAGGTGCTATAAATTTAGCTTGAACAAATCCATCATCTGGGACAGTTTTGCATCTTACACAGGAAAGTGCTTTATGATTGGATAGCTGAGCTGAAACTGGAAATCCTAAACATGCCCAAAAGACTTTGTGTGATATCTATAAAATATTCCAGTGGCAGTGGTGAAAAATTTCCATTTAGAGGCCTCCCTGGAAGAGGTTCACAGCATCACTGCAGGGTGCTATGAAGGTCTGTGGGAGAATATATCTCAAAGACCCTCAAATTTCCATCTGGCATTGCAAACTGGACCAAATTTTGGTGGACTCAGTACATGTCGAAGTAAATTGCCAGGCACGGAGCTGCGCTTTCAGGGAGAAGCAAACTCCACAGAGGAACAGGTGGGACAGGATCCTGAGACAGGTATCGGTGGGAGTCCATAACATGAAAATACATATGAAGCTCTTAAAGGTGAAGAGGGAGGAACAAGGAAAGTTAGGAGCCATCAAATAATTCGGCTGAGCAATTTTCATAATCCAAGCCTGAGGTACTGTGAGCTTAATTGAAGAACTCCTTGGGACGTGGAAAAGGGGACAAGGAGGCATTGGGATGTATCTCGGGGAGGGACTTACTGATGCCACTGAATCAATGAAATAAAAATTGCATTTTATAACCCCACGGTAAAATACCGTTCAAGTATTATTTAAGTATCCTTCCTATAGAGATAATAATATTAATAATGCCATACATACGTGTACCACACTCAACTGAACAGTGGAGCAAGCGTTTTATAGGTCCTTTTAAATGATAAAGTGCAAAGAAAGAGTTAGAAACCACTAACTTTTTTATTTTGTTTGCTGTCTTGTAATTTAAAATGACCTTGCAAGATTCACGCCCCGAGCGACATTTTACAACTAAGTCGTAAGCCTCTGAAAACAGAAATTTATGATGGAAATGCTGACAGTGAGACAGTCAAGTATTGCACTGCTGGCGGGCACCAGTATAATACTTAACCTGAGACTGTGAAGACAGTAGCATAAATCAGCCTGGGTCTAGGTGGAAATGACTCTGTGTTCATAGTATTCTCTTCCAGTAACATGAGAAAATTTGTCCAACACAAACTGTCATAAAAGAATGTTATGATGCTGTTCCCAGCAAACAACCAAAGAAGTCAAGAGATTCTCCGTTAGCTGTCTCTATCATCTCAGAGCAAAAGCATAAAGCGAGGACATGCTTCCATCCACTTGTAACAGAGCTGGAGGGTCTGTAGTGGGGTATTTACCCATTCAGTTGTTGGGAGTTTGGGCTTCATCCTTGTCATTTTCGTACCTTGTTCTTCTGAAAGAGCTTTCAATGGCATGCTTTTCTCTGCCTGCATGTGGTTTTTATTAAACTTATCTCCTGCTTGTCTGTGTTTTATATGCCTTAAATTTAGTCTTTGGAAACAGCAACTGAAAGGGAGCAACAGAAAACTGGAAACAAGATTTTGAGCCCCCACAGGATCATTATTTTATTTATAGAAGTTTTGTATGGATTTCAGCAGACATGGATGTGCTCCAGTTTCCACTGAAGCAAAACGAGAGAGCCAAGCCTTTAATTTGTATGTTTTTTTCTTCAAAGGAAGCTGTGCATCTTTCAGGGTTTTTCAGGATAATATAGGTGTCATTTAGTTATATTGGATTTCTTCTGAAACAAAGAGGTTTCTCTAAGGACAGCACTGTAGCTCTGTGCAGAGATACTCAGGCAGCTCATAAACTGTCACCTTGGCATAATGGGTCATTCTGTGAGGTACAGTACGGACCATATCCCCAGAGAAGGGGAGCCTGTCCTGTCCTCACTGGAGTGGTTTCTGCAGATTTTGTGTATTCATCTGAGACAGGAAACAACCTCCTGTTGTTTGTGCAAACAGGACTGAACATGAAGAATATACAGGCAAGACATGTTGGGAAAAGATATAATTTATGAGTGATGGGGAGAACTTGTCAAAATTAATATCTCTTCCTAGGCTGTAAATGGCAAAGGGAACAGTTTTTCCAGCATAAAATGGATTCCAACCAAAAGGCACAAACATCTTGAAGCAGTCTCTTACCAGCTGAGAAGATGGGGACATATGATACCTAAGTCAGTTACAGGAGAGAAGAAAATCACAGGTTGCAGCTGTAGCAAGGTCTTAGAATGCCTGAAATTACATTAGGAAAATAAATTAAAGAAATTAGTGAACATTTTGCCGTAGAAGGATGAAGAGTAGAACATAAGGAGGTGCTAAGACACCTCATACTAACCAAACCTATCTGTAGCTTTAGAGGATTTAAGACCTAAGATCATTTTCCCTGACCCCTTTTTGTGTCACAGGCAGTTGAAGTACTCTCAGTTACCTAATACAGAGATAATAATTGTCTTTTACTAAAATACAACTTTCAGAAGTAATTTGAAGACATCAACCAGAAAGAAAAAGCCACCTATTTTCTGTGTAATGTGTGCCAGTGGATCATCTTCCTTGCGGTTAAATGTTTCTGCCTAATTTCTCTTTCAGATTTATCTGGTTCTTGTCACAACTCCAGTGTGTATTCTAACTGTGGCCTCATTTCTTTGGACTCCTCTGCTGTATAATATTGCTACTACCTGCCTACCTCCATCTTTGTAAAATGCCTTAAATATTAAAGAAACATTGCCCCCCCCAAGATTTATAATTCCAGCTCTTATAAGTATAGGAAAACAACAATATTCATATGCTAATCATAACATAAATGTGGTAGTAACAATTCAATCTTGAAGTGTTTACTCTGGATATAAAACAATATAGTCCTGATTCTCATTTACATTATTATTAAGCAGAGTGACTATAAGGTATATGTAAACCAAACCCACATTTTACCACTAACTGGTAATTACAAGGTACTGAATATTTCTCATGTAATAATTATGTAATCATCATGTTATTCCTTGTATATAAATTTTATTAAGTTGTTTCTTGACACTGCATCAATCTTTGTAATAAGCATGTGTAAGACCTTTAGTTTTAAAAAAATTCCTTTACCTTTTTCTCTTTCTTTTTCTTTGTTCATGGTAAACATTCCGTGTTACTTATAACAACACACAATGAGTACTTTGGAGCCACTATGGTCTGTAGAGAAAGTAATATACTCTTTTTAAATGACCTAAAATAAATATTGAATAGCAAGACGTGAACATCAAGTTATTTGATTGTGATACTTGCCTAAGCACCCACTGGTTTTTTTTTTGTTCTTTAACTAATCATATTGAAATATTTTAAATTTGCAAACTATGGCTAGAAAAAAAGCATAAAAACAGTCTTCCGCTTTTTAAAATTCACTTCCTTTCCAATTGGATAGAATATAGACAGTCAACTTACTCGTATTGTATGTGGGAACTTTACAACTTAGTTTCCAGAACCTGGAGATATATAGACACAGGGGAAAATAAATTCTTATGGTTTTGCTGGTTCCTTTGTTTTAAATCATTATCTGTACCTTTAAAAATATCATAAGAATTTGGCCTATGGCTTTGATAAGTTTTTTTTTTCCCCTGCAGTGCATTTCCTGATTCAAAATAATACTCAGGTGCATTATAGTTATCTCCAAATTGCATTTAAACATTATTATCTGAGATCCTCTTAAGATCAGCACCAAAAACATACTGTTAAATAAATTTGAAAATGGTATTTTGTGAATGATCTGATCCAAAGGAAATCTCTGTACCATGTGAAGCTGATGTCCTCCCCTTTCCAGCAGAAAAGTTGAATATCTGTATCTTTCAATAGAAGGTTTTGATGCATCTAAGATCTTAATCTTTTCTCCAGAATATTCTCATTTGCCACATTTTTGTTCTATCTATTATGGGGGAAAAAAAAAAAAAAAAGAATTTAAGAGTGTTCTTCCCCCGAGTTTAACTGCACTCCAATGACATTCTTTTGTAGAAAATGTGTCCCCTGGAGGCTATATTTTAACATGTGACATTCCTGTTAATGATATTTTTATTAAATATCAGTCTCAACCAGCGTTTTGAAACATTTCTATCTCAGACAAGAAGAATAAATTAATGACAAAAAGCATATTTTGTCCATCTCCCCTGAGTTTTCAAACACATTCTACAACAGAGGAGCACCACAGCTTTTTGAAGAAAAAGTAGGTAGTTTTTATTAGTGCGGACTTAACAAAAGTATATTTTTATTTGGCCTCTTCCCAGGTATGGCTAATCTTTATGGCTACAACAAGTCAGAGCAGAAAGAGGGATGTCTGAATCGATGTGTGCAGAAAGGTTCAGCTTATGGGTAGGCACCTGCCATAGGAACTGCCACCTAAGCAGTTAATGTTGATCACTGTTTTAACTAAACTAAAACCAGGGTCAGACAATTTTAGTAATAAATCTGGTTGCTCTGTACCCCTGATTCCAAATCAGTCAGTGAGCTAACCAGCCTGAAGAACACAATTGGAAAGGGTTATTTTTTAAAAAAACAGATAACGTGGACAAGTGAAAATTAAAATTCGTAGCTGGGTGGCCCTGGGATAGATGCAGGCCTGATGAGTGGGCGGCTCCCGGGGGATAGGTCTACCCCACAGGCACACAGTGCCGAGAGCGCGCGGGGACTCAGGTAGGGGAGACGAGGGATGGATGCGGTTGTTACTCAGCAGCACGTCTGAAGGGAACATGTATAGGCAGCTTTGTCTATTGTGCTGCCTTTTCAAACAGGGTCGATAATGCCACTGTTGGTTTCAAGCGAAGCGTGTGCCAGATTACAGATAGCTTGCAATGGCATTTGAGAGACCTTAATTGTGAAACTTGAGAAGAAAATGTGCACATGCTTTTTCAGAGTGCTATTCGAATGATGGCCTTTTTATCCCAGAACACTGTGGGTTTCACTTTTATTCCCTTCCCACATAAAATGCACGAAGTGCACTGAGTCTCTTTCACTTGGCAGCTTGTATATTGCATTCTTTGCAGAGACTGCTTTGGCTTGTTAAAATGTACCCCATGTATTAAAATGAAATTGTCACTGCTGTGTGGTGCAACATAACATGGTTTGACACTAAGCGCCTGCAGCTACAGAAAACAGACTTTTATTGCATTTATTCTTTCAGAGACAAGAGTCTCTAAAGGCTCAGTGCAGACATTCGCTTAGTTAAATCTGAATGAAGCCAAAGTGAACAATCTAAGTTGCTGTCTTTGTGCTTGTAGAAACGGCCCAGCCCACATGATACGCAGTGATACAACCTGCAAGGAACAATTTTTAATGATTCCACCTCAAACAAACTGACAAAAGACTTTGACTTGCACAGAGAAGTAGTCTGGCAATCAGGGTTTTTTTGGGTTTTGGTTTTGATTTGGGTTTTTTTTGGTGTGATGGTGGGGTGGTCCTTTCAACTCTGGCAAACTTGTACCCCAGAAGACAAACTGCTGCTCTAAACTTTATGTGAGCCACGCGGAATGCATGTTAGTTGTTCCCAAAACCATGTGACAGGAAGGGTGGTAGATAAATTTGTTTTTAAAAGACTTAGACTGGTGAGAAGTAAGCAATATTTATGTCAGGGGAGTTATTTTGCGGAGAGTACCTGGAGGTAAGCACTGTTATATTGAACGAACATTGAACATGGCTTTTAAATACAGTTTTTCTAAGAAAGACAGAAGCAATATGATTTTTCTTTTTGCTTGCTTATTAGCTTTCCATTTCTCTCTTTCCTCTCTTCAAAGTCAATTTACAAGACCTGAAAGAATGGTGAATTCCCAGATGTAGTAAAAGCATGGTTTGGTATTTGACTACTAGATTTGTATTCTTTACAGTTCCTTCAACAATATATGTACCAGTTCACTGTTAATGCTTTAATGTCTCTAGGCTTGAAGTTATTATCTTGAGGCCATAGGAGATGAATAGTAAGGCATTTCACCTACCAGTATTACGTGCAAATTAGTCTTCGTCCAAAATGTGGCTTGATGTTCTAATAGGCATATATGCATTGTCTTTGGTTTTGCTATACAATCTGTCTTTGCAGGTTATTTTTTTAACATTGTAATCCTTAATAATTGTTGCTTAATCCTCTGGGTTCTTCTCCAAAGCCTGTATTTTTTTTTCATGCCATTTGAAGTTATTTTGGGTGCACAAGGAATCTAGAAACACATCCTTTGCCTTTCCGAGCAGCACGTGAGAGCATAAAGAATGTCCTTGTTCAGGGCGATCCCGGAGCCAAAAGGGGACTGTTCATTGACACGGCTGCGGCTCACACACAGCCGGGAGTGCAGCTGCAGGCTTTGAGGGTGGCAGGTCCTCTCTGCAAGCCACACTGTACCAGGATGAGCTCAACCAGTTTCTCTGCAGAAATCAGCAAGAACAGCTTTGAAGATTTCTCTCAGCATCCGTGCTTGTCTTTTTTTTCTCCTTTTGCCTTTTTTTTTTTTTGCTGACTGAGCACTTACTAACAGTCTAGTAACACGTATTGCCTTTTCCCCCATCCCACTTTCTTCTCTTTTCCAGAATGGAGTCTACAGAAAAATGTGAAGTAGTAATTCAACATTTTAATGGCAAATATCTGAAAACCCCACCTGGTTTACCAGGTAAGTCTAGCTATGATTATGAAATCTAAAATTCACTGAAGAGTTTAGAATACAGAAATGCTGGAATTTATGTTGAAATTGGCTTGTACTACTGGCCCTGCTAACAGGGTGTACAGCGTTCCTGGTTGAAGACTATCATTTATGACCCATAATAACATTTTTTTTGCCCTAGTTAGTATTATTCAAGCATTTCTCTTTAACAGTAGTAAATTTAAGTACATATAAAAATCATGTTGCCTTACTGTGTTTTTTTTTCCTTTTTAATGCATATATTGTGTGTGATATTTTTCCAGTTAGAGCAAAGGCCACATAAATAAATGCCAGTGCTTTTCTAACAATATAGGAATATAACTAGATCAGCAACTGCATTATAGTTAAAAAACAGCTAGGATTTCAAGTTGTAATAGCTTTGTATTCTTTACAGTTACTTGGTAATGTTACTAGATAGTGTTACTGTAGCATAACTGAGGATATTTCAAATATGAAGTGATTTTATACCATTTGTACTTGCCGTAGCTTAATGTAATCCTGCCATTTTCTGACAATACCCATAGAATACATTCAGTGGTGTGCCACATCGAAAGCCCGGTTCCAACCACTGTCTTGCTTTTGAAATCTTCAGCTGTCGTCATTGTGGTCATCAGCTGCGCAAAGTTTAGTGATCAGTTGCCTGATTCTTAGTGCTTGACAAGACCTCCCCGAGGCCACAAATCTGCAAAGATTTCTCCCTCAGACTGTCTGAAGAGCTACCTTCAATGAGCAGGAAATCCTTGCAAGAATTATATCCTAAGTTTTTCTCTTTTTTTCTTGTCTTTCTTTTTAACTTCCATTGAACTATTTCCTTTTTTAGTTACTTTCATTAAATTCTGCCCTATTCATTGCCTGGTTCTTTATGCAGAAGATGTACTAAATACTCTAATTAAAAGAGAGCCATCTGCACAGCTACTGTGTACAGTAATTGAATGCTGCAATGTACGTATAAATTTTAGTCAGATCACCTTCATGAAGGAGTATAAAACTTTTAGTACAAGGTGCAGAACTCCACTTTATGGATTTTTTTTTTTCAAAGGTAGTCAAAAACAATTTTTCTCAAGGCCGACCAATGAAGTACAACAGCAACTTTTTGAAGTACAACAGACTTGTGCTGTATAGAACAATGGGCAAAGCAACATAGGCAGAGACCTTAAACCTTTGGCATGCCCTTCTGCGTGCATACGTTGAGTCCCAGTGGTAATCTGTTTAATATCATAGCAACACCCAATGGAAGGAACGTGAATAGCAAGGAATCAGTAAGTGCGACTTAATCTTTAAAACCCTGCATGCTCCATGGTCACATTCCTGATCGTCTCATAGAGGACAAAATTTGAGCTATTTAGAAATAAAGCAGAATATTCTTACAGTGCCTGCTTGAGACAAAAAGGCTACATGGTAAAGAATGAAAGCTGGATATTGAAAAGAATATTTTTTTAAAAATTTTTAAATTAGTATACTGGGCATTCAACAGGAGCAATGTGGGACATCAAAATAGGAGTCTTGATAAGATAGCATGATTACTTACTTTTGTTCCAAGGGATACACTGAAATTGGTTTTTAATTATTATAACTTTTGCTGCTTTCTTAGTTAAAGAACAGGTATCAGCTTTTAGTTTCTTGAAGACGGTGTCCATGTGGGAAAATTGTCTATGATGTTTCTTTCATCATCGTGATCACATGGCATTTAGTTACAAGGATGAGCTGGGAAGTGACTATTTTAAGCATTTTCATTTATGTGACTACCCTTCAGATGTAGATAAAGCATAATGCAGCTTGGGGCTAAGCCACTGAACCAGGAACTGAACTCACTCAACTAAACACTAGATATCTGTAAGATCCCATTTTGCCCTCTTATTTTTGGTGGACAGATTTTGTAGCTCCAAATACAGATAATTAGAAATTATTGTAGGGTATTTGATCCACATAAAAGAGAATATTCGTGCCTCATGATTAGAGCACTCTTCAAATCCATATTTAAAAGATGTTCTCCTCTTCTTAAGAAGCCAGAGAACAAACCTGATCACTTGAACAGCTGGGTCGATTCAAGTCATACTGGTCACTCATATTCATTTACCTTTGATCCAGTGCAAAAACTACTCAGTCCTAGTTCTTCTTGACGTAGTTTCCCGTTAGAGCTTCTACTCAGTTTATACATCTGTGATATAAACCTGTATTTAAGCCTCTCAGCAACGGTGGAAGTGTCTTGCTTTATCCCCCTCCTGGCAGTTGCTTATCTTCCTGCATGGAGAAGGAAGGAAAATGAAGTCTCTTAGTGTACTTGGAAAATCACAATCAGGGTCTGAAAATTATCCTACCAGCATTTCAGTAGTTGGCATAGCAAGAAAATCATCTCTAGTTATTGCTGTGACCTCTTTATGGATTTCAGTTAAAAAATGGGGAACTGGAGAACATTAGCGGAAGTATGGAACACTATCTGTGACAGGATCTTACTGCCAGAGAAAATTAATCAATCCTTTTAGGGTTAAATCAAATTGATTTAGGATTTTCAGCTGCATTTCTTTCAGGCATAGCAGTGAACTGGGAGGGGTTTACATTTTTGTCACCATCTCCTCTCACCCATGCTCTGATATTCTAGTTCAGGCACGTCAGCTATTAGAAGGTTGCATGAGGCCCATCAGGAAAGAAAACAGCCTGGTGGCAGGCCATTTTGTACTACCCTAGCCCATGAGGCAATGGGATTACAGACCAGACAAACCATTTTGGCAGTTAGCTTCCACCCATGCTGTCTTACCCAGCTGTGTTCCCTGAGACATGATCCTGGTGACACAGGGATGTATGTGTGTGGCAATACCATGTCTGTAGGATAAAATGTTCACATGTTGTGGGGCAGTTGTGCCTGGTTACCATGTCATGATGGAAGAAGGAGCAGAGTAGGTAGTTTTCACGTGGTGCTGAATGACCCATCAGAAAGACTGGGCACCATGGCTCTGGCTTCCACAATGAATAAACCATAGACCGTGACTTAGTTATATCCCCCAAAAAAGTTATCTCAGACATTCATTTTGAATACAGAGCTCTGTCCCAACTAGTGTTTCCTTGGCAAATAAGATTTAAATTTAGTTGGATGTAGTTTTTTGTTGTTGGAAATAAGGTAGAATTCACGGGAGAGTAACTGTTGTGTAGCTGGGCATTTGAGCACAGCCAGGAGTCACACATCTAAGCTGGCCCAGGCCAACAATATGGCAGGAAGGGGTAAAGCAGTGTTGGCCTCTGTGAGGAAAGGCGGGCATGCAGGGCACTCTGGAGGCTCTGTATTCTGTATGTTCCCAAGGCAAAAATATATCAGTCCTTGTTTGACTTTCTGACTTCAACTACTGTCTGTTGTCTCTTAAAAATTGTAGAGCTGAGCACTTGCAGCTCCAGACCACTCTGCTTCAACCCAGTGAAAATATAGAGGCTATTTTCTGGCACTTGAAACATTTTGCTGGTCAGATGTGTAATGCCTAGGTAAGCTGAGCAGTATAGTGTCTATGTTAGTGAATTATTGTCGCTAAGGGTGCTTCTCTGTCCAACTCCTTGGCTTTGTTCCATTCCAAAGGGAATTGCTCCACTGTCCAGCTTGCTCAACTAATAAGCATTTAATGATGTTCAGTCTTACATATACAGTACAAAGTAATTGGTTGTCCCATAAATAATTAGTTAATATCTTTGCATTTCTTCCAGATTGAGAAATTACAGTTGTCTCCAGAAATCTGCAAACTCTCGATGCCTGGCAGTTTCTATGTTAACTTCATAAATATTCTGAGTAGCTTTGAGTGATTTTTTTTTTTAATGTGTTTTTTTTGTATTTGTTTTTGCTTTCCCTTTATCAGCACTGCTTTTCTGAGCTGAATAGACCAGGGCGTACTGGGTATATTTTCTTCCTATAGAGGGTGCACCCCACGTGAAACTAATTGTATAGGCTCTGTATTGCCAGTCTGAAAGAGAAGTCAGAAAAAAAGGATGCATCAGATATAGCACTGCGCTTTACCTCTCCACCAAGATGTGAAGGGCATTATTAATGATGGAAGTAGCTCACCCTCAGTACGTCAGTGCTGCATCTCTTTTTTGTTGGTGAATAAGGGACTTTTTATATAATCCTGCTGATCTATCACCTTTTGCAATCACTGAATTCAAGTACAAATTCCTAGCTTTTCTGTCAGTAACAAATTTATTTCTCTTTGGATGGGCAAGCTTAGGGTACAAGAGTTTTTGTTCAGTTCCCAGTATCCTTGGATGTCTTTAAAAAACTTATTTTTCTCTTTTTGAAAGAAATGCAATGACTTAATGAGTTCTTACTTTTCTCTCTAGAATTTCACGGGAACATGCCTCAATTGCAATAATTATCCTCTGCTGCTACAACAATTATGCTCCCTCACAGCATTTTCTAGTCATTATAGTACTTCCTAAATTTCTTTTGCTTTGTAAATACTTTTGATTGTCAGATGACATTGGGCCAATTACTGTCTCAGGGAAAAATTCAAGAAAGTCAGACACATGAATGCTACAATGCATGGTCAAGAATCTTCCTCTTAGTAGCTCTGTGTGGCTCTTATTGCTAATTTTAATGCCAGGTTACAAATATCTGACGAAAAGAAAGAAGAGGGAAGTATTATTCTTGTGTAGGTTAAGATCCCCAGGAGTATCGAGCGACTGTGGCATTTTGGGACTGACTTTTGCTACAGCAGAAACTCTTAAATAGAAAGAAATTATCTGCAACAATACAGATGTATTTGCAAATACATCATATCTTGCTTTAATCATTATTGGCCATGCATTTTTCTCTTGAAAAGGACCCAAGCACTGCATTTTTACAGACTCATTTCACCAGAATGAGTAGATATTTTCTGCCTCTCTCCTTAGTTTAAATATTTCTCTTAGGTCATCTCTTAGATTCTCCAACCATGGGGCATAAATTCAAATACTTGATATTTGCTTCAGAGAAGTAGACTTGGAGTAATGTATTT